GTAGTGGTAGTGGTAGTGGTAGTGGTGGAAATAGTAGTGGTGGTAATGCTAGTGATGGTAGTGTTCGTAATGGTGGTGTGCTGATGGTGGTAGTTAATGTGTTTAGTTTTGGAAATGCAAATTGTGACAATATATGATCGAGAAAACTAATGACGACAATTTTTTTTCCGACTGCAACAAATAACAATTAACAAATCAGAAAGTTCTACACTTGCTGGCATCAATAACTGTGGCACATCGTCTGTCCTAGCCTGTTGTCGGAATATACTATATTACTGTTTAAACGTTTAATCTTCCTGGCTAATAATAGTTCTCCATGATAGAACGATAAATCTGGCTGCGGTAATATAACTAAGCTACCTGAATCATAAAGGATTATTACTACAACACGATTAGCAGAAACTGAGGAACAGAATTAAAAATATTCTTGATCCTTTAACTCAGTACGCGAACTGAAGTAAGGCAAGTGGCACAATGAAAAATTTCATAGAATAAAGAAACATCGAAGTCCTGTTTTCCAGGATTGTTTTAGTTTCGTTTCTGGGCGTTCATGATGTTCGAATTTGGTTGGTCAAGACCAGGTTTAAGTTTTTGCAAGTACCGTCAAGAGTAAACTCTCTTTTATCCCCTTCAGTAAATATCACATCAACTGTTCCTTTTCGTTTCCAAGTTCTTTTAAGGTTTATCTTAGTTATCTTGTTTCTCGTGACATTTGTATTTAGCGGCCTAATCTTCATTTGCGGTTTAAGATAATATCTCAAGTCAGCTTGTTCACACCTCATTGAACGGGGCCTGAAGTCACTTCGGTAAATCATTGTCTTTCCTCGACATCATCTAAGTCTGGTCACGCGCCGTTGTAATTCCTAAAACAACTTTCCAAATCATGTAGCACAGTTGTAGCTATTTTTGAATCCTTTGAGACAAAAGCTGTTCAAACGAAGAGTTTACTAAGTACATATTTTTAAAGCTAAAAATGACGTTTCTTAATCACTCTATTCAGTAATGTAACTCATACCTGACGTCTGTCATTAAATAGCCCAATATTGTGTTAAATCAAAAGCCCTCCTTAGAGACATGGTTTCAGTTCAAGTCTTGACATCTGACATCTAGCGTGAGCTCACCTTTGAGTGCATTAAGGAGAAATAGGCTTTAGAAGGCATTCCAGTTCACTCGAAAACTGAACCTCTTAACTACCGGCAAAGCTATACAGCGATAAATCTTGGTTAACTACTGCATTAAGGTACTTCCATGAATCAATTATTTGTCAAGATCAGCTTTAAAAAATCCGAACCGCGAACACTCTTTCGCGGCTTCAGTATATTCTTTCTGGTGCGAGTGTAGGTTTTGGCGTTGACTCCGATTATTTTATAAATTGAACACTTCGGAAGTTCGATTCGTGGCCCAGGTTTTCCTAAAAACATTGAAAACAACGGAGGAAAACATAACCGCAACGAAGGAAAGAAGGCAAGCTCTTTTCACACGTAGTGCTTTCTTGCTCAGCACTTTTTTTGCGCGATCGTGAGACAGAACATAAAGAAAATCTCTGGCATCGATTAGAAAACCATAGATAGCATTGGTTATAAATGAAGGATAGCAATCCATGTTGAAATTTTTTATAGCAAAGCCCCAAGCAAATAGCTGGAATGTGTTAGGATGCTCATATCACGAAAGTCTGTTTTTGGCTGCGCCTTGCTGAATATATCTTTTGGCTATATTTTGGAAATCAGTTCCATTGTCGTGAAAGAAAAATCGCTCAGTACATCTGTTTACTGAACTCTGTTGCAAAATCTGGCGTGCAGCTGGGTAAATACATAAGTAATTAATGATATATATATCATATCATATTTAATTACGAACAGGAGTAGCCTCACAATTGTTTTACGAATTCCTTGCATTTTTACTTTGCCGCTTTACCGTTTTTCACATTTTCTGCTCATTTTGAATATGCGATATTAGTTCACGGATTCGATGCTCTAGCCAATCAAAAAGGGGAATGTATTGGCCAATCAAAATAATTTCTAATTACAGGTAATCATATTTACCCACGTAATCAATCAGTCAATCAATCTGGAAAAGACTCTTTAGATGAACTAGAGCGAACATGTAGCAATGCACATGACAACCTCAAGAACCAATCAGAGTGCACAAAGCTTAATACTGCTCATCCAATGAAAATGTGTGGACCCGGCACAGCACGGTCACAGCACGAAATCTGCCGTATTGGTCAATAGTAACTTAAATAATTTAAAGGTAATCTTGTTTTTCTCTTTTTTCTCCCTAGGAAATACAGTCACTAAATAACCATGGATAACGAACAAACACTCAAAGCAATACAAGAAGATTACCTGAAGTTGATTGAACATGAGAACCAGCGTGCCAGAGGACAGGCGGAAAAAAACATCGAATCTCTTCTCATGGGAATTTTATTCCTGGTCTCCTTCCTGGCCAATGCTACCATATGCACGGTATTGCTTCAGTCCAACCACAGGCAGACGGCATCAAATGTGCTGCTTCTCTCTCTCATTCTTGCCAACTTGTTAATCTCAGTGTCGCTTATCCCATTCAACATTGCATCAGTCATAGCAGATGAATGGCTTTTCGGGACAACGTGGTGTGAAACATCTGGATTCCTGGTCAATACGTTGTTTTCAGGGTCAAACTTATCAATCGTTGCCATAGCAATACACCGGTATTATTTTGTAGTGAAACCGCTTGCTCTGAAGATCGACGTTCGGCGTGCACACTTCATTGTGGGTTTCCTGTGGTTTTCCTCGCTGACATGCGCAGTGCCTCCATTATTCGGTTGGAACTCGTATGCTTATTCCCCCGGTAAAGCTCACTGTACATTAATGTGGAAATCAGGAGGACCAGCGCTATTCTATTCGATTTATTATAGTCTATGGTGCTTTCTCATTCCGTTGCTCATCATCCTATTCGTTTACAAATCAATTTACAACAAGGCTAAAAAACAGCGCAAACTGGGTACCATGGCAACGGGGAAATTCCCTACCAACGGGCACATTCCACGCGCAGCTAGTTTACAGTCCATCGACAACCAGCAATTAGCTTGTGGATGTTTCCCTAAATGTACCTCTCAAACGCAAAATAATAATTTCTATATGCAAAGAAACCAAATAGTCTCATCAGTATCGTCAACGTCTTTTTCCTTCGAATCGAGTACGCAAAGCCTACCGGGTAGACTGAATGTTCAGCAAAGGAAAGAAGCCTTAAGGAGACAGGTATCCCGTCACAGTTCAGTCATACAGCAGCGAACGTTCCAAAGCGTCTCAGCTATTGTTGTCTCTTTTATCGTGTGTTTATCGCCATATTTTTTTATTAACTGGTGGTCGTTATTTAGCCAATCATCGCCTCATCGTATTCTGGATTTTTTGACCTCTTGGTTGTATCTTATAATGACAGCTGTCAATCCAGTGACTTATGGGTACTCCAATAGGCAGATACGACGTGCAGTGAAAAGGCTTCCTTTGGCTAAACGTTTCTTTAAGGCGCACGGTAGGGGAAGAGCTTACCAGATGGACGCGACGATTTACAAGAAACCAGCGATAAGCCAAAGAAATGAAGCTCTTGAACATGATAGTTAGCATAAGACAGTCTTTCAGTCGTCGCGTAGGGGAGGGGAGGGGGAGGAGGTCTTCATGGCTCACACCCAATCATGCGCCGCAGCGACGGACCATTAGATTTTTGAGGGGGGGGGGGTTGGGCAATTTATTTACCATTGGTCAATGACAGGTTGTCTATTTACAAGTCATTAAAATAAAGAGGTTTAGCAAATAAGTTTCTATTTTGAGATTTCGATTTCTGTTTTTCCTCAATATTTTCCCTTAATAATATTTTTCCCTTCTACGAAAATCATGGCCGAGAACAACGATGACCCAAGAAGAGTGCAATTTCGCTATTTGCTTTTCTTTGTATACATAGCGACAACTCGGAAGCGACAACTCGGAAATTTCCGACTTTTCGCGTCCGCGAGAGCCTGGGACATAGCGACAACTCGCAAACGAAACTGGAGAAAGAAATTATTTGACCCTTATCGGCTTCCGTAGATGTTTTTTACAATAACGAAAACGATACAAACTTCTCATTTTTACTGATCAAAACAACTAACGGAAAGAGCGCGCGCTCGTTGACGTCAGCTTTATCTGTCTGTCCTCTTATTGATGATAAAAAAATAACCAATCAGCGCGCGAGAAATTTGTAAGTTATTGTAAAATAAAGCGTTTGCCTTGTGATTGACGTCCACCAAAATCTTCTTCGTACGCGACAGTAACAATAGCTAGAGAGCGCGTGTAATTGAGAATGGCTGTAAGAATACATGATAGTTCAGTAATTTCAACTTTGTCTGATTTTGAAGACATTTTTCTCGTCGGAAACTAAACATTTCCCCCTCCCATTGAAGTCACTACAACTCTGACCAATCAGGAAGCGCATGCTAAAAATAGCTCAGGCTTGCGCGCGGAGCTAAAAATAGATTTTCAARAAMYTTYMWKGGTTAGAGACCCATGTATGGGAGATGTGCTCTCTTACTTCATACATGTATTTTCTTTTCATGGGTTAGAGACCCATGTATGGGAGATGTGCTCTCTTACTTCATACATGTATTTTCTTGGTGGGTGCGCATCATAAATGGAATAGCCTAATGCGCCAGGCATCTTTTGTCACAGCGCCATAGACCTTTTTTTGAGATAGCGAACATGATGCATTGTGGTCTAGCTTCGGTATAGACTCTTCCACAGTCTCTTGTTCGTCCGTTCCGTCTCCACGCTTAGAGACTGTAACGGTACAATGACCGAAAGGACTTATGGGTCCCGAAAACTTGGACCCAGCGTGCTTTGGGAACCAAAATACTCGTCCACAGTCTCTCTCGTTTTCGCCGCCATCTTGAAAATATTGAAACGAGAGAGACTGTGGACGAATATTTTGGTTCCCAAAGCACGCTGGGTCCAAGTTTTCGGGACCCATAAGTCCTTTCGGTCATTGTACCGTTACAGTCTCTAAGCGTGGAGACGGAACGGACGAGCGAGAGACTGTGGAAGAGTCTAGCTTCGGTACAAACACCATGCCTTATATGGTGTTGTTGGTTCTGAATCTATACGACAATGCATCGAACGCAGAAAAGGCTATCGCTACAGACGTCATCGCTACACAGGTTGCAGAGAAAATTGCTCCTTGTAATCGCTCCTTTAGATCACATATTTTTTCGTGTAAATTAGTGTATGTAAACTTTTGAAATTCTGTGCTTACTAGTCATCTTACTATCTATTAACATGCTTACTATCTATCTTACTATCTATCATTTATGTTGTAGCGATGGACATCCTATTGGTCCACGATGAACGCATACCCCAAAAACCAACTTATCGGAAAACAACAACAACAACAAAGTCTGTCATCTCCTTCACATGAAGCTCATTGTATGGAAAGAGCACCACCAGACAAAGGCATGGAAGAAAATGTACGAATGTCTATTAAGAGAGCATGGGGAAGTGGTGATTATGAAATGGTTATTTCATTAATCCAGGTATTGTAAAGGCTTATGATCTTACTAAACTGCTTTACAAAAATCTTATGAGATACCTCTGGGAGCTTACTTTTTTGTTAATATCATTTTCACATCCTTAGCATGTCTCGAGTATTACTGAACAAGTTTTGTATAAACATGCCTGTGCATTCCTTTCTTCATGTTTCGGCATCCTTTGATTATTCTCTTCCTCAAAAGTTTATACTAGTATTATGTAAAAGGTGCCGAAACGCGAAGAAAGGAATGCAGACTAAAAGGTGATGTTTGTCGACAGAGTTGCAGACGTTGGCGGCCACACGGAGACATGACTGGCTGTTTATCGAGCAGATAAAACTTTACCAATTACTAAACTGGTTTACGAAAAGCTTATGAGAAATTCTTACTTATTGTCGAGCAACATACAGGTTACATGACCATTCCCTTGAGCACAGAGACATGACTGGCTGTTAACTACCAAAACGGGTAGAGTGACAATGGCGCCCGAAAAAAGCAGTCGCCAATGACGATTAAGATAAACGTATCTGGTTACATTCAAAGTTAAATTGCCGCTCTGGGCTCAGGAATGTAACCAGATACGTTTATGTTAATCGTCATTGGCGACTGCTTTTTTTCGGGCGCCATTGTCACTCTACCTGTTAGTGTTTTCGTAGTATCGAGCAGATAAAACTTTACGAATTACTAAACTGGTTTACGAAAAGCTTATGAGATACTCCTGGGAGCTTACTTATTGTCGAGCATCATACAGGTCACATGACCATTTCCTTGAGCATCATACAGGTCACAT